AAAAAAAAAAAAAAAAAAAAAAAAAGCATGGTCAGAGAAAAGGAAGGCAGGTGCTACTTTGTATCAGACCTCCTCAGGCCCCCACTGTTTGCTTCCATACCTAGGATAGTGTTTTTCCTTAATTGAAAACAATCATGAGGGCCATGAAATCATCAAACACAGAACAATTTAAATTAAGCCTGAGTCAATATTGGTATAATCTATCTTTGGCTGTGGTTAACAGTAATATCAGTTTAATGCCATCTCCAATGAAAAGAACATTTCCTATTTTGCCATCTATCAAAAAGAATCTCCTCCTATATTTTGTTTCCTCACCTAACAAAGGATGTTCAGATGTCAAGTCCTCTCCTCTGCCCACAGTTATGGCTGCTGGAGACAAAGTGGGTGGTGGTGGTGTTCTGTCCATCCTCGCACACTCATCTGACTCCTCTGGCATTTCTTCCTCACACACATCTTCTACTTGATAAACCTGCAATGACAAGTCATACTGCCTTCAAATATTTTCAAAACTACTTCTAGTGTGGTATTCTGAATTTAAAAAAAAATTAATTCTAAATATATTAAACTAAAAACAGGGCAAACGGCTATACTGACAAGCTGAAAGGAAAACTTTGAAATCACTCACAAAAGTGTTTACACTACTCAGCAGTGCACCACTGAAAGCACACTGTGGGCCAGTTATGGGACCCCAGAACCACTGGGCTTTCCAAATGATAATGACCATAGCTGAACATATTTTCAAGAATTAAAAAAAAAACAGGGTTTTGGCTTTATTCAATCAAATAACTATTTTAAAAACACCATTGCGTCTGTTAATTTCAACCTATCATGAATCAAAACAGGGGCCAGTACTTTATAGACACTCTAAGTAAACTTCCAAAACAATATATGCCAGGGCAATATAATGCCAAAAATTATATGTAAGATTACTCATTGTTAATAAAGACTAAATTAGGAAAATTATTGTATATGAAACTACAGAAAAGTCAGCAATCATATTTTCATTCCCTTTCTGTTCTACTCAAGAATCAAATGAATTCTTAGAGTTAGTACAATACATACAGATCTTTCTTTAAAACTGAACACATAACCTAAGCTATGTGGCTCTACCTCTCAGTTCCCACGGAGAAGGTTTAGTGCCTTTAATGCAACTGTGACGGTTTTACTGAAAGACTTTGACATCAAAATCACAGAGGAAACCGGGCAGTGGTGGCGTGCACCTTTAATCCCAGCACTCAGGAGACAGAAGCAGGTGGATCTCTGTGAGTCTGAGCCTGCCTGGTCTACAGAATAAGTTCCAGGACAGCCCCGGCTACACAGAGAAACCCTGTCTTGAAAAAAGAAAAAAAAAAAAAGAAAATCACAGAGGAGAAACCATGTAACTAGAGCTAAATTACTCAACTAAGGTTTTATTAAACTTAAGGATTAATTTTCAAAGTGTCTCTAGAAATTAATCGATGTACTTTGACTGGTTGCTATTTATGAAAGATAATCTACTAACACAAAAATGTAAGACAGTTCATTTCCATTCGTGTGGCAAAGCTTCCGCTTAAATTTACAAAGATTGAGAGTTTTTTAAGATTTCTTAACTAATTAACATTGAAATAAATCTTAACAGTTAAAAAAGCTTGTAACGTTCACAAAGTTAACTTTAAGTGACATCTATTTTAGTTAAACTGTTGAAAAAAATGATAATTTGAGGTGTCTAGAATTTAATACGAAAATAATTAAGATTTTTAAATCTAGCATAAACCATGTAAAATACTATAAAGTTTTATTTATGAACATGTGCATAACCACAAGTAATACTGGTTTAATAAAAAACAAATAAAAAAAAAACAGAAATAAAAAATCAAAGCATCTACTTAAAATAAAACACCCATCCAGGAATGGTGACACAACCCTGCAATTCTAGCATTTAGAAAGCTAAGACAGAATACTGAGTTCAAGACCAGCCTGGGAGCATAGCAAGAGCCTACCTAAACAACAGCAAAAAAGGATTAAACATGATTTTTGCTTAAAAAATAAATAATAAAATTTCTGAGGGTGGTAGTGTTGCTCACTCTTGGTCCTAGTATTCAGGAGACGGAGGCAAGCAAATCTCTGAGTCCAAAGCCAGCCTGGTCTACAGAGTGAGTTCAGTGATAGCCAAGCTACACAGAGAAACCCTGTCTCAAAAAACCAAAAAACAAAAACCTAAAATCCCACCAGAGTTTTTTTATATTTAACATGATATCTTAAACTATGATCCTAATTAGGTACTAAGTAGGCAACATTTTTTAAAAGATATCTTTTTGCAACCCAGAAACAGAAAACTGCTTCACAAGAACCTCAGTCACAAGTGGAATCGAGTCAGTTGTTACTGTATGCTACACAACTGACAGCCACTACTCTGCTCATGCTAACAGCAAGGTTTAGTATATATTAAATGATATACTAACAATATAGAATAATGCTCATCATAGAGTACATCACTACCAACATACCTAGGGGTTAACAAACGACAATAACAAAAATAAAATAAAGTTTGTGGGACCTACAACCTAGAAGGTGCGGAGTTAATTCAGAGGAGCGGCTGGAGAGCTGGCTGAGGGCAGCCATGCAAGAGTGGCTTCTTAGCCAGTTCAGTCCATGGCACTCTTTCCCTCACAAACAGTTCTTTCAAAGATGGCCACAGCCAAGCTGCTAACCCTCTCCCTCAATGCTGGGCCACCTGCTGCTGCAGCATCTGGTACACTATCTTTTAAGAAAACAGAGCTCCACCGTGCACAGAATTCTGACTTTTTGAAAAGTAGTTTTTAAAAAAAGGATAAGACCATAATACAAATAGCATTGTTTTTTCAAATTATCAATCAAAGAACACTATAAAATAATTTTCCTTCTTATTATGAGGTTAAAGAGAGCTCTTTATAATCTCCCATATAAAAGAAAACAAGTTTACAGGTAAATAAAGTAGGCAAAAGAAATTTGTCACACATGTCTGATACAATCAGCACAAAAACATCTAAATGCAACAGCTAGACTCCTGAGGAAAGTAGTGATCGGAGGCTTTGCTCGCAAGATCATGACAAACTACACAAGTCCTATTTAGCTCATAACTGTAACTATTCTAAAAATAACGAAGACCGCCAAACTTACCTTAGTAAAGTCCACATTCCCATCTGTCTCCCTTCCTAAATAAACTGAGGAACATGTGTTTATTAGTTCTAAATCATCTATCCTCAACATATCTTATTTACACCCAATTTTAAAAAAAAAAAAACTGTTTCTTTTATAGAAATATCTTTTTGAAAACACACTGATTTAGTTTAATAATTCACCTTTTCTTTCAATTTTTACATCTTATTAGAAAGAAATATATCTACACTTAAGTACTTGAAATAATCAAGGGTAGAAATGGTGTTTTTGCGGGAATGACAACAAAACAGCAACTTAGTGAGCAGCTGCTGGGAAAGGACCGAGAGCACACTGTGTGCAGGGAGCGGCCTGCTGTCACACAGTAACGGGACAAAATCAGCAAGACAGGCCCAACAGTATTTTCGGCACAGTATTTAAAGTGTTTTATTTTGGGCATTTCTGCCCTAATTATTTTAGCCCAAAGTCATCTTATTAAAAAGAATATAGGAAATATGGAAATTTTATTGTTTACTCACTGAAAACCAATCTCCTAATTAAATGTTAAGAAAATGAAATGAAATTTGATTCCTTTGAAGGTCCTGAATTTTTCCTAAACCTCTGTTTTCCATGCTTTTGTTTTGGCAGTACTGGGGACTGCACAGGGCCTGGCCCATGCTAAACAGGTGCTCTACCACTCAACCATACCCTCAAAGCGAAACCTACTATAAGAGCTCTAAAAAACCATGAAAATAAACACAGAGGCAATCAAAGAACAGAGTTTCCTAATATCCATTTCTCCTGGTTTCTGGCTTTCCAGGGCAGTAACAGGCAAAACTGAGCAGCTCCGTGTCTGTTAAGATCACTTAGGATAGAAAAACAAACTACAAAATCGAGTCATAAGAGACAAATGTTTATACTAATGAAGAGAGCAAGACTCCTTTCCTTTCTGAGATTAATGTTACTTGATATCTAAATATTTCAGTTTAGAAATATTCTGTATGGACTCTGTAGCCAAGGCTGCTCTTGAACTCACTGGACAACCCAAGATGGCCAAACTCATGCCCCAGCTTCCCGAGAACTGGTCTGACTTTCAGTGATGTTCAAAGTTTGACACAAAACTTCCTTTTAGAAAAATTTTTTTTCCTGAATAAAAAACTGAATCTGGTCATTCTGATTAAACTCATAAGGACCTTATTTCAATTGTTGCATAAAACATTTAATGAATTTTAATAAGTCCTTCAGAGAAAATCTTGAAAAAAGCTATTTTCAAGATAACCTCCCTTTTCAGGCCTCACGTGTCTGTTTCAAGAGGCTCACTCTGACACATTCCACTGAAATCCCAATTACTCAAAATTCTTACTTCATATAGTGCACTTGTTACTCTCAGTGTCAAAGACAGAGACTCAGGGTTTTGAGCCTTTTAACTGAGAAATAACTTAATTATATTTTCTCTTAGTAGATAGAAAGTTTAAAAAGTCAATTGTTTTTTGCAAAATTGAATTCTACCCTGGAATAAATGTTTTTACAGTTTTAATTACAAAACACAATTTTGTCAAAAAAGTTATATCACACAATCATACCTCTTCCTTGAAAGAAAAGCTGCTCAAGGCCCAGGACTTCCAAATGCACCCAACTGAAAGGTTAGCTAGATAAACCATGCGCTTAAGAACATACAGAAGGGATCTATGAAGGATAATCACCTTAAGAGAAAAAACTTTGTGCAGATGACACTGGTTCAAATGCATTCCCTTGGGGAAAAAAAATCAACTCTGTAAAGATAGCAGATGGATTTGTTTAAATAGTAATAAAATTAACGAGGGACTTTAATAACCATCACAAATTTAAAGCATGCAACCATACTACAACAAACGACATTTTTTTCCTTTGCCCATACAATACATTGTTGGAATACTGACACAGGAAAAAGGCAAGCTTAAAAAAATCATAGACATTTAGATTTAACAGTACAGCACAGTGTGGGGGAACCAGCTTTACGTTCAGTTCAGCAAGAAAGTCAAAGAGCTGCCGAGGGCTTACCACTGGCGGATCAACAGGTGCTGGTGGCTGTACTTGGAGATTTACCGCAACAGTCTGTGGAGGAGGAAGAGTCTGAAATGGCAACTGGACCAGAGCTTCTGCAGCAGGTAGCTCTTCTTCTGACACCAAAGCATTCTGCACCAAAACCTGGCCCTGGGATAGAATTTCAGGCTGCACTTGTAAAGACTGCATAGACTGCAAGGGCAGTGGTGGGATCTGAGCTGGAGGAGATGTCGACATCTGTGGAGGGGTTGCGATTGGAATTGGAGATGACTGCAGGGCTGAGTATTGCTGGTGTGATGTTGGAGACACAATCTGCTGAGCAGGGGACACCAAGGCAGACTGTTGGACTGGGCCAATGTGTACAACAGGGGATGCTGCAAGTGGAAGATGGGATGGAAGATTCAGCTGTGCTGTGGGTTGTACCTGATCAGCAGTAGCCTGCTGCAAATTTGGCCCTGTTTGAAGAGCTGAAGACACAAGAGGGTGTGGCTGGATAAGTGCTTGTGGATGGATAATTATAGTAGGAGACTGACTTGGGGAATGAGGTGGAGGAGGAGACACCACTACAGACTGCTGTGCCGACTGTGCCTGATTAGGAGACACAGTTAAAGGAGGGGGATGGCTCTGAATTGGTGAGCAATGCTGTGACTGGGCATTACTAGGAGCTGGAGAAAGGCCATGATTTGGAAGTGGGATACAGTGCTGGGATGGGGGCGGATCTTGAGTTGGACTCTGAAGGGTGATTGGCTGAATCTGCTGTTGTTGCTGTTGTAAAATCAGCTGATGATGGGAAACCTTAGGAGGTGGTGAATGAAGAGGAATCTGTTGATGTTTGATTAGAGAATGAGGCTGAATTGGAGAATATGAAGCTGTGAGAGAAAAAAATGACAATTAGTACTGATTTCAAAACAAAACAGTTTTTACATAAATCTAAAGGAGTAGAGTTTTCACATTAGAGAGTCATAGTCATTATCAGTCTGTTACAAGTCTTCTAGTTTGACATTCTATGACATTCTCCTTGCAATGCTAAAATACTAGATGAATAAGCTATGCTGTAAAACCCTGATAGAAAAGCAATCTAGTCACATATGTACAGCTTCCCACGTTCTACTCTTCCAGTCGACAGAACAGCTTTACTAGCTTAGCACTTAGGTCTCTGCACTTGAGTCTCCTAAGTCTGCCTCTTCTCTGAAGGGGAAGTATCAGCACTCAAGGATGACTTCAAGATAACATCTCATCCCGTCTATGACAAAACACATCCCAAACTAACAGCATAATCAATTAGCTAGATTAGTTAGTTTCCTAACTGAGCATTTTAGCTTGAATGAAGTCTTTATTATTTGATCAGAATGAAATTGTTTCACATAAATCAATTAAGCAAAATACATGGCTGAATCTTATAGTGGAGGGGCCATTCCAAACCTAAGTGAGCAACCGATTTTTTGCAGAGAATGCAGGAGTAAGATCATGATACCTAAATAAGGGATGGTGTTTATTCCTTTGCACTCAATGGCAAGTCCAGAGTGAGTGGTAACCACTGAGTGGCATCCATCAGATCTCCTCACAACGGGAACAGTGCCCACCATGCTGACTCTTTACGCCTAGGACTGAAAACTGAGTGCACTGGAAGATAACTAAAATGACTGCTTAATACCACACAAAAATCACACACATTTAAGCTGTCATGGTAAGCACATCTTTAATCCTAGCACTCACAAGACAAAGACACATGGATCTCTGAGTAGAGGTGAGCCTGATCTTCATACATAGCAAGTTCCAGGCCAGTCAGGACCATAAGGAGACCCTGTCTCAAAGTCTCCACCCACACACACCCAAAAAATACTCATCTAAATCAAATATAAAGACAGAATTTATCTCTCAATGTAAATATAAAAGTTACATAGCACTTTACATCCTTTTATATTCAACAACAGTTATGGCAACAGCCTTATAAAACTTCTAATAACGTTTTTCTTGAACATTTTTACATTTTATTATAATTTAAAATTTGGGGATCAAGCTGATGAGACCTTTCACAGTTAAGAATATTGGTTGCTCTTCCAGATGACCTGAATTTGGTTCCCAGCACCCATGTGGCAGCTAAGAACTATCTGTAACTACAGTCCCAGGGGATCTGATACCCTCTTCTGTCTTCCTGAGGTACCAGGCACACATATGATATACATATATATGCAGGCAAAAGTCATACATATAAAATGATATGTTTAAAAATTATAGAGAACCTAGCTGGGCGATGGTGGTACATGCCTTTAATCCCAGCACTTGGGAGGCAGAGGCAGGCAGACCTCTGTGACTTTGACTGGAAACCAGCCTGGTCTACCGAGCAAGTTCTAGGACAGGCTCCAAAGCTAGAGAAACCCTGTCTCGGAAAAAAAAAAAAAATTACAGAGATTCTTTAAAGAAATCACTGCCAGGCAGTGGTGCACACTTTTAATGCCAGCACTCAGGAGGCAGAGGCACGCGGATCTCTGAGTTCAAGGCCAGCCTGGTCTACAGAGTGAGTTCCAGAATAGCTGGAGCAACATATAGAGAAACCTTGTCTAAAAACAAACCAAAAAAAAAAAAGAAGAAAAGAAAAAGAAAGGAAGGAAGGAGGAAGAGTTCCAAAACAGGCTCCAAAGCTATACAGAGAAACCCTGTCTTGAAAAAAAAATTTACAATTTCACTATCAATTAATTATTTTTAAATGAATAGCTCAATACTAGAACACATGTGTGTGGCATGGGCTCAAATAGCACTAAAAAAAGGAAAAATGAGTTCTAAAATTTAATCTAAAAATAATTTTTCACGTAAGCTAGTAACTGAGATGAAGACTGCCAGCCTCCACAAATGTGGTGACGGCTGTGTGATACAGAGTTAGAGGAGACGGTGACTAGATCCTGTGACTCCAGAGAGTGCTTCCTGTTCTCTCAACACTGGAGGAAGTGGCTGTCACCTCTTTTTTCAGATGAGGAAATGGTCTTTTCGCCTCCATTTTTAATAAGAATGTTATAATTTAACTTTAAAATCTTTGTCAAGTACTTTTTAATTTTTATTTATGTGTCTGTGTGTGGGTCCCTGAGAAGGCCTGAAGAGGGCATCAAGATTCCCTTGAGCTGAGAGTTACAGGCAGTCGTGAACCATCCAAGGGTCCTGGGAACAGATCTCCAGTCCTTACAAGAATAATCACTCTTAAATGCTGAATTTGCTTTCCAGCCCCACGTTTCGTGGTCCTGAACACAGGCGATATATACACTAGAATGAGTTTTTGTGCTGTTTTAGGTTAATTATCTGATATTTCAATAGAGTAACAGTCTATAATTTATCTAAATTAAATTCTTCTTAGATCAGAAGTCAGAGTGCAAGAACAAGTCCTAGATTACAGGATGAGAACTATGAGCAAGAAAAGCTGACAATGTCTACAAAATTGTGTCCTGCTTGTTAATTTCTCTGACCTTAACGAACACTTTATTATTGTCAGAGCAGCCTAATATTTGAAAGATTAATGACTGACTTAGTTTCTCTTGTATTAAAATATCATTTCATTCAACAATCACTGCAACCCTATAAAGAAGAAATGATACTAAACTAATACAATATGACGGATCAACTGAAAGCACTATCAGACGAGTCCTACAGCCTGAGCTGAGGGCTCTATTATGAACTGTTTGCCCCTTTCCCAAATTCACCATGCTGAAACGACAACCCCAAAGCGGCTACATGTAGAGATGGAGAAGGCAGGGAAAAAGGTCACATGGGATCCTGGGAGTGAGGCCCTGGCACGGCAGAGATTTGTATACCAATAAAAAGAGATACTAGGGCTAGTGAGATGGCTCAGCAGGTAAAGGCCTTTGCTGTCAAGTCTGATGACCTGAGTTTGACCCCTGGAACTCACATGATTGAAACAAAGAACCAGCTCCTACAAATTATCCTCTGACCTCAACATGGACTCTGTGAAATGCTCGTGCCTGTCCTACTCCTACAACAAATAAGTAAGTACCCCCAAAACAATGTTTTTAAAGAAGTTATCAGAGCTCTCCTCCCTCACTGTGCACACACAGGGAAGTCCAAGTGAGGACAAAAAGAAAGTGGCAAGTGGCAAGGTAAAAAGACAGTCAGAAACTGGGAGTGTGGCCAGACTTTGACCTGAGACTTCCAAGGTTATGACATTTCTTGGTGGCAGCCAGACCAAACCACTACAGGATTTTTTTCACTGCATGTTGAATTAATTTCTAAAGAAAAGAAAAAAGGGGGAAAAAGCCCTCTAAAAACTGCATAGAAAACCCCTTTCCTGATTTCTAGGGATGTGGTTAAAGGTGAATTCTCGCCTTTATATATTAAAACAGAATTATTGTCAAGTGTGGTAACACATTCCTTCAATCCCAGCACTTGGGAGGAAGAGAAAGGCAGATCTCTATGAGTTTGAGGCCAGCCTGGTCTAGGGAGGGAGTTCTAGGACAGCTAGGACTATACAGAGAGACCCTGTCTCAGAGGGAAAAAAAATTATCAATCAAGCACAGTAGGAGGCTGAGGCAGGAAAGTTGTCATGAGTTCAAGGCCAGTCTGGTCTACTGTCTTCTAAATAAATAAACAGAATTACTAACACAGGAAAGCTTCCATCCTCAAGGAGAAATGGTCAAGAAAATCAGGTTATTTTTAGACCCTAAAATTACATGCAAGAAAACAGTAACCATCTCCACTACAGTAACTATTAGGCAACCATATTAGGATACCAATAATACAAATAGAGGGTCTGTTTTCTTCTCTATTTAAAATGACTGCTGGCCTAGGTCTAGCTGAGGAAAGAATAAGAAGACGGGTCTCACTGGACCCTGCCCTCTGACCCGTCAGCTCAGGCACAGCAGGCACTGCTGCTCCACACAACTCGAGCCCTGGTGCTGCTGTGAGGCTGAGAATGATCTGGGCAATGCTGTGCAAAAGCACAGTCATCTGGCCAGAGACAACACATACCAGACCACACAACAGGGTATATAGACATTTACTACAGAGAGAGAGAAACAATATCTAACTATAGCATGAATGGATTTACTAGCAAAGTTTATAGCACTTCTCTAAGATTCATTCATAACAATCTTAAGCATGGTGGTAGCTAACTAATGCTAAGGGGAATGACTGACAATTTCCAAAGCATCAGTGTGGAAACTGGGTGATCAGTCCAAATATACCCGCGTACCTATCACAGGCAAACGAACAGAAGACAAACCTTCGTGCTATTACTATGAAAAGGTGAAAAGATACAACAGAGTGCTGAAAACCGGGCCTATCACAGCCGTTACTAGAGCACCCACAAGGAGCTCGCTGTCCAGTAAAGAGGTCTGGGTTCAGAAAGCACTACAGTTGTAACAAGTCAAAGGAAAGAGATATCAGACAATGCCAAAATTTTGAGAGTTTGTAGAGCTAAGAACATGGACAATCCTAACAGAAGAAACATAAGAGGTTAAAGGGCTGTAACTCCATGTTAGAGCGCTGTGTGCCATGTGTGGGAGGTACTAGACTCAATCCTCAGTACCAAACACACAGAGGAATCAGTCTAGGGGGAGAGTAGACTTCAATAGTAAAGAACAAGGGTCAGAAAGCTCACTCTGGTTGAGGAACCATGAAGCAGGATTACCTGCAGGAAAGAGATCCGCATGGCAGAATAAGAATGAAAAGGACTGCTTCCTTGACAGCTTTCCCTCAGATGGCATCCCTCAGATGGTAGTGGTGGATGAGAAGTTAGGAAAATAATTTATTTGCCCAATCTGTTTTAGTAACAAATTTCCACTAATGACTTAATTAAGATGCACTTACTTTTTACTAAAAGCTTAAAAATATGTACCACTAAAGCATACTAAATAAAGACAATTCTTTTTTAAAAGCTAAAAGATTTAATTAATATAAAGAGAGCAACACATCATAAAGACGTTAAGTGCCAAGTAACAACAATGGAAGACCATTGTTTTGCTGTATAACTTGATTCAATTACTAGGTTTTCTAAATTTTTTCAAACTACTTAGTGAGATCTTCTTTAGCTGACAAAAATTCTCACTTAAAAATGTTTTAAAATTGTTACTCTTATTCAAGTAGCATGCATCCTTTGTTTTGCTGTCTGATAAGAAAACAAATAAGGCAACTATTTTTGACGAACATTCATCCCACCTGGTGCTATTAACTGGTGAATGCTTGAAGTCCGAGTGACCGCTGTGCTTCGAGATTCCAGGCTTGGGCTTCCTCCCTTCTTGCTCTCTGGAGAAGGGTCTCGTTGGCTGATTTTAGAACTGGTCACTGTTGTTTTATTATGACAAATTGTCAATGACTGAGTTTGACCAGTGCTTTTTGGTGGGCCATTCTGTGAGCTAGATAAGACACCCAACTTCTGGCTGCGTAATGTTAAATTCTGAACCTAAGAACCACATAACAAAAAATAAAGATGAAAACATGGCTTTAGCTCATACAGCAATCATTACAATAATGACAGTAATTAATATTGTGCCTCCTACACAAAGAGGTCCACACTCCTGAGATAACCAATAATCTTTAAGGAAACCCTTACAGAAAGGTCGCTCCACATGAGCATGTCTTAACTACTATGTGGCAGGCTGGAAAGGACATAGAGGGTGGGTATAAGACAGTTGTGAGTGAAAGAGCAGGACAGGAAGACCAGAAAGAACTAAATGAAAACCAAACCAATACTAAGGGGAATAAGGGGAGGGGCTGACGGCAAATGCAGTATAAATATGAAGAAACGGCTCTGCCATGCACTACATGGAAAGTGATCAGTTCTAAATGCATTAGAGGGAGTACTGTAAGACAACTGACTTATCTAAGCATCTGCTCTGGTGTGATACCATGAGAGCATTTTCCGAAAGCTTCTTAAACTGAAATTCTGTTACTGACCACTCAATATCTTTGAGAACAGAGCTCTGAAATGGGTAAACACTGTAAACTGACAGGATTATCCAAATTCATCTCACTTGAGCTTACACCTCTCCAAAGAGCAAGGCAGAAAATGCCTCACCAACAGTAGCTTCTTGCCTATCTGAAACATGTACCAAATACACTTAGTACTAGCAATGGTCTCGGAGGGTCAAAGGAGGCTCCACCTAGACAAAGCTAATGAATGACAAGCTGCTGAGGTCTAACTTCTTAGTTGGTGCTCAAGGCTCTATTCCAGGTCCAAATGCCAAAATAGTATCAACAGAAGGTAAATAAACAGTCACGTCAGGCAAGTTTCTATCAATTCTACAGCTACTGTTAATGTGTGCAAATGAAGTTCCTAGCCATTCCACCTCAAAAAAGATACATGTGAATAGTCATGGTCCCAGAACAAGAGGTGCTAGGAGGGGGTGAGGTCTCTGCCTCCAACACGGGAGTAGTGAGCAAACAGACTTAACATCTGAATAGACTGTTGGGAGGCTCCGGAGCTGCAGAAGAAGGGAGTGGCTGTAGAGAGAGGGTCACTAAGGGAATATCTTTGAAGGAGAATTGGGGCCCTGATCCCTTTCTGTCACTCTCTCTGCCTGGCTGCCTAGGAGTAAGCAAATTAGCTCTAACACACACTCCCTGCCAGGACACTCTGCCTCTACGCCCCAGAAAACAACAGCACCAGCCCACCATGAACCAAAACTACAGCCAAAATAAATTTCTTTTATTTTTTTTAAATTGTTTCTCCTAGGTTGTCAGAGCAAAAAAACTGACTAATACAACAATCACTGGAAACCCCTCTAAGTGAGAACATATGGAGCATCCTCTCTGATTTCCCTCCCATAGTTCCTACTGTGTCAATATGTATCAAATACCATTGGTTTTAAAGTATCATACAGAAAGTAAAGTGTACTGTATTCCTTGGGTTGCCACTCAAAGTCAACAATGTAGGCCCAACCCACTATGAATCCACTTTCTCTTCTCCAGTCTACAATCTTATACAACTGCCAAACTGCTCTCAGTGTCCTATAAATACACCATATACTTCCTTCATTAGGTGCCTTTTGTTCTGGCTCTGCTTGAACTTTCTTTCTCAAGCCATTATTAGCAGTTCAATAATCTGCTTGGCTCTCTCAGAAGAGCTTCCTGGAGTTCTTTGTGAAGAATTTGCCCTTTCACTCCGGGATGTTTCCATGGAATCTAAGTGAGACTGGCCTACAGCACAATGTCTAGCTTGTCTGTACATGACCAACAAACACATTTGTGAAATGGTGAGAGGAGACTCAGCTAATAGGGCCAGAGCCTCCAGCATTGACTTTTGCACCCCTAGCAATTCAGAACTACAAAAACTGGGAACTTCCTAAGTCTGGGATATTCTCTTACAACTGATTTTGAAATCACATCATATAGATATTTGAAAGGTTATTTAGTTCCACTTATGGCTTTTATGCTAACACTGCAATTTGTTCATATTTACTAACAAACTTCATTAAATATCTTGATGGAGGCACATTAAAATATCTCAGGAAGGACAGAGATGTAGCTAGGTGGGCCTAATATGTATGAGGCCCTGAGATCCATGTCTGGTATGACAAAAGAAAAAACAAAAAACTATTATCAGTATAGTGATAGTAGCACAGGCCTATTATCACAGCACAAGGAGGCAGAAGCAGGAGGAACACAAACAAATTCAAAGCCAGTCTAAGAACCATAGTTAATTCCAGTACAGTCTTGGCCATACAGCAAAACCTGACTCTAAAATACGTAATAAACAAATAAGTAAAACAATAAATTCACCCAGGAAGAGCTACATAATAGAGAACATAGCATTTTCCACAAATGATTCATGCAGTAGACCATATAATAATGATAACTGAGAACAAATATGCCAAAAAACTTGAATGGCTCCTTCAGGATGAATAGCATCTGAACAGTAAATGAAGATCTGACACAATGACCCCTAATGCCTACACACCACACTGCTTCCTGGAATCCTGAAAGGCAATGTTCATGCCTCCACAGTTAAGTATGATGTTATGTTCTATATGAGCTTGTAGACTTTAGATAACCTGCTGCCATCTTCACTCAAATACTAACTTAAAGTAAATAACTTACACTGTAGAAACTGCAGCACCAGAAGTAACACTGACTCACTACTGGAAAGACCACATGTTCCAGGACAGTATCTTTCTGGGGAGAGAGAATCCATCCCCAGAAGAGGAGTAATGGGCATCCTAGCCTTAATTTTCATTCCCCTAAAACAAGCCTATGATTCTATAAGAAACTTTGACAACATGCATGAGGTATTTGTGCTAACTTCACTCTAACATCCTATGATATATAATGAATATATCACTACCAAAATAATTCTCGGAATCGTTTAACTGAAATCAAGCACTGCAGATATTACTGCAGCATTCTCACTGCAGAAGAGGAGACTGGAGGTGGGGCGGGGGTGGGGAGGCTAGTGCTGTGCTGAGCTGACTCAATCAGCATTCCCTAGGTTGCCCTTTGATAAGCAGGATCTCATTCTTCTATAAACATCCTTTTTGTGCCAGTCGTGGTGGCACACACCTTTAATCCCAGCACTCTGGATGTGGAAGCAGACAGATTTCTGTGAATTCAAGGTCAGCCTGATCTATATATAGTTTTCCAGATCAGCCAGAAGTATACAATATGATTGTCTTAAAAAAAAAAAAATTACTGAGGAAAAAGGAATTGATATAGTGACTTTTGTAGTATAAATAATAACATTAAACTACAAATCTGATACTCTTAATTTTAAAAAACACAATTTTTAAACTACATACTTAATTTTTTTTAAAGTAGAAAAGTAAAAAAGAAAATAAAAAAGGGCCATAGTGGCACACTCCTTTAGTCACAGCACTCAGAAGGCAGAGAGAGGCAAGTAGATCTCGGATTTCAAGGCCAACCTGTTCTATCTATAGAGTAAGTTCCAGGACAGCCAGGGCTACACAGAGAAACCCTGTCTTGAAACACACACACACACAAAAAAGAAACATTCATACCCAATAGTCCTGAACCTGAAGTTGTGTCTCTGTTGGTCAGCATCGCCTATCACTGCCAGCCTCATTCACTGTCACGCAAAATCAGTGTTCACAGAGAGATCCCTTCAGTCCCCTGAAAGCCTTAACCAAGTCAGACCCACACAGCCACAGACCTTGGACAGGTCACATCCTATGTCACCAGAAGACCAATTCACAAACTACATTAGCTGCATTAAAGACTCATAAGAATGTTTCCGTCATGAGAAACAGTAAGAAAATGGAGTACCATATTAAAAAGAAACATTATCTCCTAAGCAGCTGGTTGGTTTATCATGGAAACTATCAATCATTTAAATGGTTATTTATTATCTCTTCATTTCTAGCTTCTTGAAAGCTAAGAATCACATGTGTGATTTGTCTTCACACAATGTCAAATAATAACAGAAGTCAGTAGATATTTCATTATGTGGCAGCACTGTGATGAGAAGCTTCTGATTGCCTCACTTGTCACTTGTAACAGCTGAGAGATATCATTTCCAATATAAAGTAAAGCAACTGGAGCTGAGCAAGGATCATCTTAAAATTAGCATTTAGTGAGCACTATCTAGCTTTACAGTTTAAGTAACTGTAAAGAGCCAGGGAGCAAGTTAAGAAAAGTGTGTTTACTCAGCTACAATCTTTATAACTAATACATGAAAATTAGTCTTTATTATTAAATATATCAATACATAGAAGTTCTATTAAAAAATCAAAGAATATTAATTATCACTATCTCATTTACTTCTTATTGTTGTTGTTTGGTCTTTCAAGACAGGATTTCTCTGTGTAGTTCTGGCTGTCCTGGAACTCACTTTGTAGACCAGGCTGGACTTGAACTCAGAGATCTGCCTGCCTCTGCCTCCCAAGAGCTAGGATTAAAGGCGTGTGACACCACCACCCAGTTACTATCTCATTTCTTACATTTACCAGAAAGCCAGAGTATGAAATGAGAAATAAAATGCACCAGGCATGGTGACTCATGCCTGTAATCCCAACACTGAGGAAGCTGACACACAGCAAGGGACAATTCTGTATTCTGTCAATTATGTTTTAAATAAACACTGATTGACCAGTAAGCGAGGCAGGAAGTATAGGCAGGACAACCAGACAGGAAGTAGAGGCAGGGCAATGAGAACAGGAAAATTCTGGGAAGAAGGAAGCTATCTCTGTAGTCCTGCCCAGACAAGGAAGAAGAAAGATGGAACCTGCCCCGCTGAAAAAGGTACTGAGCCATGTGGCTAACATAGATAAGAATAATGGGATAATATATGTTATAAGAGCTAATACGAAGCCTGAGCTAATGGGCGATTTATAACTTATGTAGACATCTGTGTGATTTTCTTTGGGACCTAATGACTGTGGGAACTGGGCAGGACAGAAACCCCAACAAGCAGGCCCACATGTTACACAGGGTGACTCATGCCTGTGATCCTAGCACTGAGGAGCTGACACAAGAATATTGTCTCAAATTGAAGGCCTGGGGCATAATATCAAGTACTAAACCATCCAAGGCTACTACCAAAACCTTTTCTTAAAAAAAAAAAAAAAAAAAAAGTTAAAAATATACCCCAAATGAACAAAAGATATTTTAAAATGTGTAAGTAAATAAAAGGCCAAAGATGACCAACATATGAGTGAATATCTGTCATAAACATTTACTACAAAAAACAACAAAATAGTACCACATAAAGCAACAGTCTATTCAATTATTTTAACTTAAAGTTTATTCAATCTAAATGATCACTATGACATTTACTGAGATATGACTTACAATAAGATGCAACTATTCTATAAGTTTTGACAGTAGGTCAAAAGTTATGGAATCAGAGCCAGCAGTGGTGGCGCATGCCTTTAATCCCAGCACTCGGAGGCAGAGGCAGGCAGATTTCTGTGAGTTCGAGGCCAGCCTGGTCTACAAAATGAGTTCCAGGACAGGCTCCAAAGCCACAGCAAACCCTGTCTCGAAAAAAGTCAAAACAAAACAAACAAACAAAAAAAGAAAAAGGTATGGAACCAACACACTGAACATCCAACCACCACACTGAACATCCCTCCTAGTCAATTTTTCCTACCTCTATTAACCTAATTTTTTCACTATGGAGGGTTTTTCTGATTCTGGAATTTTAAAACTACAGAATCACAGAGGACATACTTATTGTGTCTAGTTTCATTTGCTAGCCATGCTTATGAGATGTACTAGTGGTTTGCTCTTTTCCCCTCTGAGCACTATTCCACTGATGACTATAACACCATCTGTTTGTACATTCAGCATTAGAATACTTAGCCATTAAAATCTATTGTACAGTGTCAGTCTTCATCTCAGCCACCCAGATGGATGTATGACGATGATCACTATGATCTATGATGTTGGACATTTTTATCTTGTGCTCACTGGCCTTTTATATACTGTCTTTTTGTTTGTTTGTACTTCTGACTGTCCTGAAACTCACTACATAGACCAGGCTGGCCGCAAACTCACAGAGATCTATTACCTCTGCCTCCTAAGTGCCAGGATTAAAGGCATGCATCACCATACCTGGCCTATATAGTTAGAGTTTTGTGTGAACTATCTCTTCAAATATTGTTTCCATTTTTAACTGATATCATGATCCATTACTAAACTATAAGCATTTTTTTATATTCTAGGTACAATCATTGGTCAGATACATATATTGAGAATAGTTTCTCTCAGCTTGTATCCTAGATACTCATTTTGTAATGTCTCTTTAAAGAATAATTTTTAGTTTAAGTCCAATTTATCACTTATTTTTGTTTCTAGTTCATCTTTTTTGTGCCCTAAGAAGTCTTGCCCACCCTAGACTTGCAAAGATGCTATCCTGCTTTCTCCTGGAAGATTAAATTTTTTATTTTTACCTTTAGGCCTACATACTACTTTTAGTTTACTTTTTGAATAAGAGAGAAGTTTCATTTTTTTCCATAGTACCAAATAAAGTAATACTCTACTTATGTTTTTAACTTCAAATTTGCCTGATTTAACTCATTTTTAAACTTAAAATTATCATCTACTTTGACGTTTATGTAACTACTTGCAAAGGAAATCTACAAAAAAGAATATACCTCATGTAAGAAAGAAATCTGGTAGACAGCAAAACTAAAAATACTGTGTCAATAATAAAACTCGTGTTAATCTTGATGAATCAACACCTAATAATCTAAATCTGTTTGATTATATGTCATTTCTACAAAACAAGCATGCTCTTGGAGCTCTCAGTGCTTTATGAACTTCACCTGAAAGGCATGGCAATGCACTCTGAAGCAGAGGAGCTGAAACACGAATGCAGTGACCGCCTTTCCACTGAGAGAAACCCAGACCTCCAGTACCACACTGTGATACACAATCTCACCTGAGCAGCTGCAGACTGACAGGAGGGTGACGATGACGACGAGACAACAGGAATGTCAGACTGCACAGCAGCCACAGTGGTAGCGGGTGTGAAAATCAGCTGTACAGACAGAAAACCAAAAATAACACCCTAAGACTAAAGAACATGTCCCACACACAGTGTGTAGCAAGCAGGCAAGAGACTGAACTTTGTGACAGAGAGACAGTGCAGTCAGGACTACCTCCTAAGCAAAAGGCTTCACACGACAACAAAGTTGTGATCACAGAGCTCAAAAAGTCACCAACACCTTTGAAATCGCTCACAATTCTGAGAGTAGGGGAAAACTACTCAAAGAAAAGAATGTGTTTTGGTGAGATGAGATCCTCAAACCAAATTCTGTCCCAACTAAAAACTACTACCTCAGGATTCCTAAGATGGAAATGAAAATAAAACTGCACTAGGATACAGATTAATTTTGGTAAGAAACAGGCAAAGAAACACCAAAAAGTCTCTTCAGTCCACACATTAACAGTGCCACATACTACGATGTTTCTCAGCTACAAGGGACCGATCGTAGGACAAGTAAGGTTGCTCTTGATGTTAACCTTGTTTGTAAAGGGCGATTTGTTCTAAATATAAATGCTCGAATGTTAAAACAGAGGAGCAACCAAAGGCCTTCACCCCATAACAACAAAAGAGAAAAACAATCCATACATCACCATCTTGTTTTCAAACTTTTAATATTAAACAAGTACCGCTAATTTCTAAGACAATACAATCTACTCAATCTAACTGGATTTAGTAAATAATGATAGGCTTTAAAGTGTGGAAACACTATTTTTAAAGTCATTTCAAGAAGTACTTGCTACCTTCCTGCTATTTAAACTAAAATAATCAATTAGGGAACTTTTCTAACCTTGAACATTTACAGTATGTATTAAATACAATACTGGGTTGCACTGTGATTTTCATGCGTGCACATACATGGCCATCATATTCACTATCCCCTGCTCCTATTTACCATCCCCCCTCATTTCCTGAACCCCTTATTTTCCTCTAAACCCTTTTACATTTGAATTCTTTTCTCATTTACTTACTGAATCTATGTAAATTCACCAACAAATTTTCTTACTTTTGGTGCATGCAACCAGCCTAAAAGCACTCCACCCAAAAACGAAGATTTTCTTGTTTGAGTCATATGAATTGCCCATTTTAAAGGTCAAAATCATCAAAACAAAACAAAAATATTTCAAATGGTTCAAATCATATTATTAAAGACAATTTCATGAGAGAAAAGTAATCCAGAAGAGGTGATATTTACAATTTGTGAATAAAAGTTGTGTCACATCATCACTTCCTGCCAAAAATAAGACTGAAAACTTGCTTTCTAATTTTCAATGAATAGGGATCAGATATATAATCAGTTCATTGGTCAAAATCTGCATACTAAGGAGGCCGAAGATAGTGAGTATTGATAAGATGCTTGTCTAGTCATCATGATGCCCTGGTTTTAATCCCTGATACTGCAAAATTAACTAACTAACTAATTAGGTATATATATATGTATATATATATATATATGTATATATATTATATAAATAAAAAGATATATATTAAAACATTTGCTTAACTGTACAAAATTATGTCAGCCAATGTCTACATGTCTTTAAAAATGTCAACAATAAAATCAGGAAATCAGTAGGTATCTAATTATAAAATTATCAATTAACATTCCTATATTAATAAAAATAAAAGCTGAAGTAAACATAAGAATGCAACCTTACAGAATTTGAGACTGTAATAACCAAAGCTATGAATTATCTGAAAAACTATCAGAACTCCAATCCAGATTTAAGAAGGTCCTTGGACATAAATTCTTACTTATCATTGAAAACTAAGTTTTTAATATTTCTAACTATTTCCTCAAATCATCAATGTCAGCAGAATAATTGATTTATATAACACTGTAAATAATAAAACTGTAAGATGGCATCAGTAATAAAAAGCTCTTCAATTGTAGAGATCTCAAAATATAAAAAAAGGTTTTAAAATCAGTACCAGTATTAAAAAATATTGTTACCAAGAAGACCTATTAATTCACAGTGGAACTTTTATGCATATTTATAAGTGTTCAAAGGCTGAGCATACACACATACACACACGTACACACACAGTCACTTGATAAATACTGCTTAAGTATTAAAAATGCCTTATTGCATCAAATCCAAAAGCATTGGAACTCTCCAGTCCTCAGATACTGAAGAGCTGGCATCTTAAATCTTACCATCTGAGCTCGGAGATACATTTGAGCTTGGCTGGCAGTCAAGGTAGGAGAGGTACTCCCTAGTAACATAGTCTGTTGGGTAATACTGCCACTGGTGGAACTGGAAGCCTGGGAGCGACTCATCAACTGAGCAGGTGTAGGAGAAGTGGAGAGGTTGATCTAAGGAAGAAAACGTAACAGGTCATGCTTCCATGTTTTGCCTCCATATTCTCAACTTCAGGAAGCTGAAGCAAGACAATCAATGGTAGAAACCTCAAGGATAGGCTTTGATCTTCGACAGAGCCCTTCATTTTGGGCATCAATTTGCATACAAGCACAGACTGCATGCAAACACACACCACAGACTACTTACTAACTGGAACAACTTTCAAACACATCCACATTTCAGGAAGACTTCTAGCAACTTAAAAATGGCTTTACTACTACCTCTCCCAAAACTAGGGATAATGTCAATTACTTTAATATTACACAGAGTGACTTTAAAGTTCTAATTGTAATACATTGTTTTGTCACACTGTCATATTTTGAGGAGCTTCTGAAGTGAACAAAAATTAAAACACAAATAATTCATTCATATATGAAAAACATGTGGGTAACGTATAATTACTGTAATGTTTTAACTTAAAGGTTCTGAAAACAGAAGAAAATATAATTGCTATCTGTTAAACAGATGGAAAAATCCTGAATATTAGCTATGAAATTAATGTATCAACATTTTAAAGTTTAAACTCATGCTTAAGAATTAATTAGAGCCGGGCAGTGGTGGCGCACGCCTTTAATCCCAGCACTCAGGAGGCAGAGGCAGGCGAATCTCTGTGAGTTCGAGGCCAGCCTGGTCTAGAAGAGCTAGTTCCAGGACAGGAACCAAAAGCTACAGAGAAACACTATCTCGAANAAAAATCAAAAAAAAAAAAAAAAAAAGAATTAATTAGAAGCCAGACAGTGGTTGCACATGTCTTTAATACCAGCACTCAGGAGGCAGAGGCAAGCAGATCTTTGTGAGTTCGAGGCCAACCTAGTCTACAAAGCAAGTTCCAGGCCAGCCAGAGCTGTTACAGAGAGACCTTGTCTCAAAAAGCAGAAAGAAAGAAAGAAAGAAAGAAAGAAAGAAAGAAAGAAAGAAAGAAAGAAAGAAAGAAAGAAAGAAAGAAAGAAAGAAAGGAAGAAAGAAAGAAAGGAAGAAAGGCAGGCAGGCAGGCAGACAGGGAGGGAGGGAGGGAGGGAGGGAGGGAGAAGAAAAAGGAAATACTTAGCAAGTTAGCAAGCAGAGGTAGTGATTTATGCCTCATGTAATCCAGCACTCAAGAGGCTAAGGCAGGAGGCTTATGGATTAACAGCCAGCCCTGGGCTACTGATGATTAAGTGCCAGGTCAACCTGGGGAACATGAGATCTGGGCTAAAATAAATAAATAAATAAATAAAATTAGTATGTCGCTGAATGGGTGACACAAGCTTGTAATGCAGAGCTAGAAAGGCTGAGACAGAAGACCTGCTAGTTCATGGTGAGTCTGAACTAAGCTGCACTCAAGTTCCTGGCCAGCATGAGCTACATAATAAGATCCTAGCTCAAAAATAAAAAGTGCATAGACTAACAGAGCCCTGGAAAATACATTAGAAACTGTCAACTTGCTTGGATCTGTGAAGGGGAAGTGGAAAGAGGTAGGTGGAGAAACAGGGAAAAGAGAGATACATACATCCTTTCTCGTCTTTCCAAGTCATTTCTGTTCATGTACCACCCACTCTTAAACAACTTCAGAGAATAACATAATTCAACCTCACCTTAAATCATTTTTGTGGAACAAAGTAGAGAACAAAATTAAGAAATAGCTTACTAGACTTCTGATTCAGGAAGTGAATACACATTCATGTGCTCAAAGATACTCTGAAATGTTCAAACTGACATGAAAATGAGAACGCAGTTGAAATGCACAAGAGAGCAGGGAAGGCAAATGTCCAGGGGTCAGTCAGAAATGCAAACCCAGACATGTAGCAACAAATGACACCAACGCACCTCTAGGTTTATTAAGCATACAAAGATGGAATGTCCACGTTGGTCTATTATACGGTAAAGCTGGAAGTGAAATCTCTATTTTGAAACAAGATTCTGAGAAAGGCTGATCAATATGTGAAAAGTTCCACTCATGTGTGCTGAGAAGCAGCTAGGAAGTTGTTACACCTGTCCTGATATACTGGAAGAGTGGAGGGAGGCATCTAAGAGATTCAAAATTTCAGGGGTTTACCATGTGTGGGTATAAAATCCAAATTCACACTCCCTGCATAGTCCCCTAATATAATCTCATACATTAGCATTTGATGGAATAAAACGGTGAAGCAGGGCTCTTCAGCAATATTCTATCAGGGAAACGTCAACCTGAAGTATCTGCACATGAAACTCCCTTCATGAGACCCAGGTGTGACACACAGGAGACGGTCATGGCACAGTAAGAAAAAACGCTGCTGAAGAGAAGAAACCCTTTACCCCTTCCCAGCCCCAGACAGACTCTCCGACCCCTAAAAACCCTAATTCTAGACTAGTACCCACTGACTAAATCTTTCAACCTGCCCTTGCCCTACATAGGATTCATAAACTCTGTGATATGAACTGAAATTTAGTTGCCTGCAAAGACTTGAATTGCATACAAACCTCAGGAGCAGAGGTGGGGGCTACAGAGGTTAGTGCTGCATCAGCCACAACAATCAGAAGGTTCCAGTCTAGGGCTAAGGCATTCCTGGAGATCACAGGCTATAACCCAGGCTGCATTTTCAAGTTATCTGTCTTTGAAGTCCACAGATACTTGTTTTGCTTGGTTAGTTTTACTCTTGATGTTGGGTTCGTTTTTTTCTTTCATTCTTCTTCAATGTATTTTTCAGTTCCAGGACTTGTGTGGGATTTTTTGTTTTAAATTTTAATCTGTTAACTATCTCTGATGAAATCTCTGAATTGGTTTCTGTATTTAAAGTTTTCAGCTTCCTCAAAGCAGCTATCTGAAATTCTTTGCTAGGTTCACATAATCTATCTTGCTAGGGCCAGTAGAGGATGACTTTTGTCCTTTCAGTGTGTCACAGCTCCTTGGCCTTTTCCCTGTCTACCCCCAGGTCTGATCCTTGCTACTTCTGTATCTGTTTGTAACGAAGTAGATGTCTGTTTTCAGTCCTAGCAGTCTGGCATGCTAGGCAAGTACTCTATGATCAAGTTACACTTTTAGGCTTAATAACTAAAATTCTGAAAACAATCATCCTTGTTTTCAAATTTCCTGAAAAGTACTAATACAATACCCTTGTTAAAATAATTACAAAAGGTATGAATTAGAAATTTTCAGGCATATTAAGGATTCAAGTTTATCACCAATGTGCTCACTACAAGTAAGGCATCAGAAAACAGCCTGTCAAACAGAATGCCCACCATAATAGCCTTTGACTGCTTACTTGTATCATTGGTACCCAATACTGTGGCTGACAGCACAGCAGCATTAAAAAGTACTGAACACAGGCTGGAGAGATTCAGTAAAGTGCCTGTCGCACAAGGATGTTGGTTCCAGTACCAACAGATAAGGTGGAACACACACACATCTATAATCTCAGCTCTGGGAAGGCAGAGACAGGAGGATCCCTGGGACTTGCTGGATAGCCATTCTGAGGCAGGCAGGGAGCTCAGTTTCAATTAGAAACCTTGTCTCAAAAATTAAAATGGAATATGATCACAACATCACAAAACCCTCCACAAACAATCTGCCCTGCCTGCTAGATGTGCTCAGAATTTGTGGGAGTGGGCGGCCAATGTCTGGTTTAACTTGAGGTCCATGCCACAGGAGGGAGCTCCTACCCCACACTGCCTAGATGGCCAGGAACAAGAGACTGGTTACTGAGGAAGAACTAAACACGAATGATTTAAAAAAAAAAAAAAAAAACCCAACCACAGAAGCAACGAAATGATTCCTAATGATATTCTGCTATACTCCTTGTTCAGTCTTCATCAGAGTCTTTCTCCAGCAGCAGAAGGGAGCAGGTGCAGAGGCCTATACCAGGAAACCCCATGGACAAGGGGGAGAAAAGACTGAAAGAGTCAGAGGGGAAGGAGATCACCAAGAACATGAGTAGACTGTCACCTAATAATTCATTGCTAATTATTACTTCTGATACCACATCTGTCTCTGTTGTGGGATATGTGCACAATGGGTAAAGATACATTATTGCTATGACTGGTTTAATTAAAGAGCTGGATGGCCAATAGCTGGACAGGAGGTACAGGAGTACTTCCCTACAGAGAGAGGGAGGAGTTGAATCTAGGCGCACTAAAGACACTACAGAACAAGTTAGATACACAAAATGGGTGAGAGATAAAAGTCACATAACAAAACATAGACTAAAAAAATGAGTTAATTTAAGCAATAAGAGCTAGTGGGACAAACCTAAGATAAGGTCAAGCTTTCATAATTAATAAGTCCCTGTGTTGTTATTTGGGAGCTGACAATCCAGAGAAAAATTCAACTACATGTCTCTTCTACTGTTGAACCAAGTTTTGTAAGCTACTTAGCCATTGTAATATGCTTCTGGTCAAATCACCTGTGGGAGAGCTAGCTAGCCAAAACAATAAACAAAACAAACAAGACAGCTATTCTCCCTTCATACTTCTTGTACCCAACAAGCCATTCAGTTTTGGCATACTCCATAGTACAGTGCTATCTTAGGACAAGTATCATTATGCCATTTAAAAGTATATTCACGTGGCCAAGATCAAAAACACTGATGACAACTTATGCTGGAGAGGATGTGGGGAAAAGGGAACACTTCTGCATTGCTGGTGGAATTGCAAGCTGGTATAACCCCTTTGGATGTCAGTGTGGCGACTTCTCAGAAAATTAGGAAACAAGCTTCCTCAAGATCCAGCAATACCACTTTTAGGTATATATCCAAAGGATGCTCAATCATGCCACAAGTACATGTGCTCAACTATGTTCATAGCAGCATTGTTTGTCATAGCCAGAACCTGGAAACAACCTAAATGACCCTTGATCAAAGAATGGATAAGGAAAATGTGGTGCATTTACATATGGAGAACTACTACACAGCAGAAAAAAATAATGACATCTTGAATTTTGCAGGAAAATGGATGGAGCTAGAAAACATTATTTTGAGTGAGGTAACTCAGACACAGAAAGACAACTATCACATGTACTCACTCATAGGTGATTTTTAAACATAAAGCAAAGAAAGCCAGCCTACAAACCACAATTCCAGAGAATTTAGACCACAATGAGGATATTAACAGAGACTTACATAGATCTAATCTACATGGGAAGTAGAAAGTAGAAAAAGACAAGATCTAGTAAGTAAATTGGGAGCATGGGGACCTTGGAGGAGGGTTTAAGGGAGGAGGGGAGAAGCAGGGAAGGGAGCAGAGAAAAATATAAAGCTCAATAAATATCAATAAAAAAAAGAAAACATAAAAAAAGTTAAGCGTTAAAAAAAAAAAAGTATATTCACGGCCAGGAAGAAGTAGCACATGCCTTTAATCCCGGCACTCAGGAAGCAGAGGCAGGTAAATCTCTGTGAGTTCGAGGCCAGCCTGATCTACAAGAGATAGTTCTAAGACAGCTAAGACTGTTACACAGGGGAACCCTGTCTCGAAAAACAAAAAAAAAATTTTATTCACTTGGAATCACAGTTTCTGTAAGTACCTCACACATAAAGTCATAGAAAAAAATGCTTGTTGTTGTTTGAGACAGGGTTTCTCTGTGTAGCCCTGGCTGTCCTGGAATTCACTCTGTAGGTCAGCCTGGCCTTGTGAATTCACATAGATCCACCTGCCTCTGCCTCCAGAGCTTTGGGTTTTCAGGTATATGCCACAACTGCCTGGAAAAATAAGCCTTTTTTTAAAACCTCAGATTTTCAAAAGTTCTATCTCCAACCTATTACTCCCATTTCCAGGCACTCGTTAATTAAACAACAGCCTCATGACTAATAAGTTTACTTTTGCAAAACAATAATTAAAAATTTTAAATCTAAGAGAAATTTTAGAATACTTACAGATGTCTGGGACATACTTGACTGCTGTGTGACACTTCCTGTCGGGGATGTAGCTGGCCTTCCACTGGACAAGCTTGCCTAGAATAAGAAAACTATTGTAATATGTCTGTAAAAACATAAAGCTAAAAACTTCCTGGGGGGAGGAGGGAACAAACTCTTCCTTGAGTCACAATAATACAAAACTACAATAAAAATTCTCAAGTCTATCTATGAAACAAATCATTTTATGTTCAACATGGCTTGACCCTGGTCATTTTTTTTTTTAAAAGAAAAAAACAAAGGTGAAAACAAATGCCACACTGACTGGTCTTACTTCTACACTTCTGTATGGATTGGTTTTATGTTACTGCACACATGTGCTTCACAGAACACAACTTCTACCATGTGGGTCCAAGGAACCAAACTCAGTTCATCACATCTATCTGTTGCCAAGCATAGCAGCAGGTGCCTTTACCTTCTAAGCCATCTCAAAGACCCTAATCATGCTTTATTAGCTGCACTTTCATAATGTATACTATGTTGGTAAATTGTCATATGTTGTCTGAGTTCACTGAGCAGTTAGTACTAGAAGTAGGATTGCCCCCTACAAACGTCAGCCCCAAGCATGTTTCATTATGTCAAGTGTCTACTGAGACTCCTTGCCTGGGAATGAGCTGGACCTCACAAACTCTGTGATAGAAGGAAAGAAAGAAGCAAAATAGCCCAAGAGAAGAAAACAAACCATTCCCATCAGATATTATTATTGTCTATTCCATGAAATAAAAGTGCTCAAACTGGAGCTGGAAAGATGGCTCAATAGTTAAGAAAGCTACTCTTGCAGATGGAGCAGGGTTGGATTCCTCGCATTCAAGGACAGTGGCCCAAGGACACTGAATTTGAATCCCTAGCATTCACATAAAAAGCCAGACATGGCTTTACACTCCTTTAAACCCAGTATTGAAGGACAAAGGCAGGGAGATCCTGCAGGCTGTAGCCTAGCTGTAACAGTGAGCTTCTGGTTCCTGAGAGACCCTGTTTCAAGGCAAACAGATAGGAGAGCTATAGAGAGAGAAAACTAAAGATACCTGGCATCCTGCTCTGGCTTCCACATGTGCACACATGGGTATAATCATTGCACATTTAAATACATACAATCACACACTCATAGGGAATCTCAAACAAACCAAAACCACTAATAATTTTATTTAAAAAGGAAATAAAAATAGGTAGTTGTGATGCATGCCTTTAATTCCAGCACTCAGGAGGAAGAAGCAAGCAGATCCCCTAGTTCCAGGCCAGCCTGGTCTACAGAGCAAGTTCCAGGGCAGCCAGGGCTACACAGAGAAACCCTGCCTCAAAAAAAAAAGGAAAGGAAAGAAAAAGAAACTCAAGCTATAGCAAGTCAATGGGTTTCAATTTTCTTAAATCATATACATAAGTATTATTCAAAACAGTATTCTAAATTCTACTACTGAAGCCAGTTGACGGTGATGCATGCCTTTAATCCCAGCACTCTGGAGGCAGAGGCAGGCAGATGGATCTCTGTGAGTTTGAGGTCAGACTAGTCTACAGAGTGAGTACCAGGACAGCCAGGGCTACACAGAGAAACCATGTCTCAAAAAGACAAAACAAAACAATAACAAAAAAAAAATCTACTGTAGAAGCCTAGCATAGTGGTACACATCTCTAATATCAGCATTTGGGAGGCAGAAGCAAGTGGATTTCCATGAGAATGAGGCCAGCCTGGGCTACATAAGTAAGAAGACACTGTCCTTGAAAAAAGAAAAAAAAATCTAAAGTACACTATTGAAAAGAAGCAAAATACCTACGATCAGAAAAACATCTTTTTTCAGGTTCTGCAAATTAAGATTATTTTTTGTTGAGATTTAAGATTAACAACTAAATCTCACAAAAAGTTTAAATTGTACAATATTAGCGAAAATGTTTTTAAGACACAAACATTTAATGATAAAATTAAGTTACTGATAGGACTGATTTCATTTTCCTCTTGTACTTTTATTCCACTTGATATTCTTTAATGAATATAAACTACAGACACAAAAAGAAAAAAAACTAGCTTACTTTTGGATTTAAAAAAATGTAATTCATGTAACGTTAAGTATTCAATGTTGTCCCTAAAATTTCAGAGACAAAAGTACACCATATACAGAACATTTATCTAACTCGGATAAGAACAACAAGACAACATACAAAACCTATCCATTCTCCTCCCCTCTAGGGAAACAATCACAGACGTGAAGAACGCTGACAGGACACCTGCCTATGTACTTCCAGCTGTGACTCTGACACACTGCCCGCTGTGTTCTCACCTGGACAGCAGCGAGGCTCTGGAGCTGGGAGCTGCTGAGATGCTGCTGCTGAAGAGCAGCCGTGTGCAGCATCAAGTGCTGTTGCTGAGCCGCGTACATCTGCTGGAGGTACTGAGCAGCCGAGCTGGGGGGGCGATGCAATGCCTGTTGAATTACCTGTGATAAGGTAAGGACCCTATGTCAAACCAGCATCTCAATCTCTGTCTTTTCCCCCTTTGGTTTTGAGGTTTTATGCATGCTGAGCCTAGGCTCCACCATTGAAACTTCACATCAACCATCAGCTTAACCATAAACTTCAGGATAAAAAGTGCAGTTTAAGTTTTTACTATTTTAATACTCATTAAGCTTATTGAGACATTTACCTATTGTTACATATCACTAGGTTAAATTACCCATATCATTCACTTAAAATAGAATGGCAAAAATACATGAAATCTTAAAATCTCATTAGTAGTCAAAAAAATTACTAATTAAAGGGATATGTTAAGTTATACCTATAAGATGGACAAAGATCCAAAAGAATACTACTACTGACTACAAAAATAACCCTTCCTACACTAGTAGTAAGAATTTAAGTTTTAGAGGTTTTCTGAATACAACTTGGTAGATTTCAGGGCATATATAAAAAGGGCACTTTCACCATGCAGTCATTACCAACAGTACAGACAAACGCAATGACCACCAGCTACACGTCCAGCAAGTACATAAAAATGGCTGGAACAAAGAAGTAGGTTTAACTTTCAACTGAACTTGAATTTTAGTTTTAATAAATTGCTACAGGTATGCCTAGTGACTTCTCTATTATACAGTGCAGATACAGAGCTATATGATACAAAGTACCAATATATTTCAAGGTGAAGAAAATCACTGAGTAGGATACCATTTGGTCTTAAAATACTCAAGTAAATAACAAGGTAAATATGATAAAATTAGTGTCTGGTTTGAACTTTTCTACACATGTCTGAAAGTCCTTCAATTATATTAAATATTGTATAAAATTAAACAAGTATAAAAAGACTCAATAATTTTTTAATTTTTAAAAAATACCTGATTTTTTGTTTCCACATAGGACTAGTCTTAATCTTTGTTTTTTTTTTGTTTGTTTGTTTGTTTGGTTTTTTTTTTTTTTTTTGGTTTTTCGAGGCAGGGTTTCTCTGTTTAATCTTTGTTTTAAAACAGTATTTCTTTATTTGTGTACTGATGTACCATGGCATGTGTGCGTGAGGTCAGAGGATACTTGCAGAAGCTGGTTCTCTCCTTCCACCATGTGGACTCTAGGAATCAAACTCAGGCTGCTGGGCTCAAATACAAATGCCTTTATCTGCTGAGCCATCTCACCAGCTCCTGGGACTCTGGCAGAAGAATATTTTAACAACTACTGGAGCTGGGGACCCGGCTCAGTGAAGGACCTAAGTATGGCTCCCAACACCATGTGGTCGTTCACAACTGCTTATAACTGCAGTTCCAGAGCACCTGACACCATCTTTGGGTGGGAAATGGCACACACGTGGTTCACATATATACATGCAGGCAAACAGACACATTAAAAACATATATAGAGGGCTGGAGCGATGGCTCAACTGTCAAGAACACTTGCTCTTCCAAAGGACCCAGACTCAGTTCCCAGCACCCATGTGGTGGCTCTCAACCATCCACAGCTCCAGTTCTAGAGAACGGGACACCCTCTTCTGGCCTTCATGGGCACTTCATGCACTTGGTGAACATACACACATGCAGTCAAAACACTTACATAAATAAATCCAATCTTTTTAATAACATTGAGTAATTTTGTTAAAAATAAACTTATAAAAATCATTAATTACAGTGATTATTAATAGGTATAAAATCTGAGCACTCAAAGAGGTCAATCATTCTAAAAAGACAATAGAAAAGCCTCCTCCCATCTGTTCAAAAGGTAAGTCATACTGCCTCATCACACGCACTGTGACTCTGGACCAGCAGAGCTCCAATCTCAGCACTACAGCAGGGTTTCACAGCACCCATGGAGCAAAGGTACTATAACCCACAGGAAGTCAGGAGAGCTGACATAAAGCTATGAAGTCCTTTACTCAGATTTCCATGAATTACTGTTCATTTGTGTTCCTATTTCTCTCAAACTACACACTGTTCCTGTTACGAAGTCTTCTTAGATTCCTAGCTGAGTACTCATAGCCAAAGACCATGGACAAAACACTAAATGACCCAGACCTACAGTATTTCTCTTTGGTCATATAAATCCACATATGATCTTCTAATTCCATAACAAATTTCTACAAACTCACACTGAGTAACCAGTGAACAGGCAGCCTGATGCCCAGTTCTCTCAGTACCGCCGGTGTCAGCAGTCTACGCACCACAGACACCCAGCACTGAAACTGCAGGTTACAGCACAGCACACCATTCTTACTGTCTCTCTACAGAACCAGGGTAAAGAGAATCCACACGACGAAAACAGAAGATACTTAACTGGGTCAATGAACATGGCTTTGAAGACATCGTAGATGAGGTAACTAGTCTGTAATAACTAGAGTCTGAGCTTCCTGAGAGACCTATCAGTGCCTGCTCAGTAACATTTCATTCATGAATTTATCCAGTTTAAGTGAAAAATGAAAAAACAGCATAGTCAAATATCATACCATCTGTATGTTCTTCAATATAATATCCTTCCACATATCACTCACACAGAGAAAACAGAAGGTATTAAAAGCATACTGTGCATTCGAGTTTGAATTTCTGCGGTGCTGAGTAGGTCTAAAACTGTCCTCTATCTACCATGAAGGACAGAGCACAGGGAGGAGTGTAGCATAAACAATGAAGAAAGCAACTATTAAAGAACATTTTGATTCCCAGTACAAAACAAACAAACAAAAAACACACAACTTTAAAGAACGCAACTGAGAATCCTATAAAATGAAGGCAAGTAACATGGAAGCAGAAGCTGAAGTCAGAAAACCTACCAGCAATGTGAATTTGTAATTATTTAGCCTATTTGAAACTCTGGTGTTCCCATTTGTAAAATGCCTACTGTACAGAGGTCTGCTGAGGATTAAACAAAATAATCCACATAAGGAAAGCATTCATTAAATGCTTGGCACAAAAAGTTGTTCAACAGACAGACACTACTGTCATTTATTAGAAACTGTTCTAGATGCTTCATTTAATTCTCACAGTAACTGATAAAAGTACAGTGTTATCCTCATCTTACTGTTTCCTGGGGCTCAGGGAGACAATCACGTCTTTTGCCCAAGGACACACAGATATTAAGAAAAATGAAAACAGAGTTCAAACAAAGAACCCATCAGACTGCAACACTCGTGTCTTTTTTAAAACAATACTTTATTGTCTCTACTGGTATAAAGTTCAACTAAGTCAATTTTACTTTCTCAATTAAGTGACTACATAAAGATCTTCAAAATATTCTCTTCCCTCTCTACCAAGAGGCTGTAGAGCCGTCCTGCTTAGAGTTCTTACACCGCCTGGAAGTGAGACGTTCTCTCTAAATCACTGGTGGTCTCAAATATTAAATAAGTCAGAAAAGCAGCTATCCTAAACATCTTACACATAATATTTTCACTCTCACGGCAGCACATAAAGACATTCAATTATAATTTTCCTGACACATAATCTTTTTTTTTTAAAAAAAAACTACCTTTTCTCATTTTATATGCCAAATCCTTTTCCTACTCCTTCCCCTCCTCCTGCTCCTTCCACCTTCCCTCCCCTCTCACCCCCCCATCCCACTCCTCAGAGAGGGCAAGGCTTCCCACAGGGAGTCAACAAAGTCTAGCACATTGCTTTGAGGCAGGACCAAGGCCCTTCCCTGATGGAGGAAGGTCATTGGTTAAGTAATAAAGAAACTGCTTGGCTGGCCCTTATAGGTTAAAACATAGGTGGGAGGAGTAAACAGAACAGAATGCTGGGAGGAAGAGGAAGTGAGCTCAGACTTGACAGCTCTGCTCTCTGAAGCAGAGACGCCAGGCTCCTCTCTCCCAGGCAGCTCTGATCCAGGATGGACATAGGCTAGAATCTTCCCGGTAAGCGCACCTAGCAGTACTACACAGATGATAAGAAATGGGCTAAATTAATATGTGAGAATTAGCCTAGAAGAGGCTAGATAGAAATGGGCCAAGCAGTGTTTAAATGAATACAGTTTGTGTGTTGTTATTTCGGGGCATAAGCTAGCCAGGCGGCGGGGTGCTGGGGACTCAGCCCCGACGCTCGAATTACAACACTTCCCACCACATCTAGGCTGTACAAAGTATACATTCAAAGAGAATGGCTTTCCAAAAAGCTAGTACAAGCAGTAGGAATAAATCCTGGAGCCACTGCCAGTGGTCCCACAGTCTGCCCTAGTCATACAACTGTCACCCATACTCGGAGGGTCTAGTTTGGTCCTATACTGGCTCCCTCACTGCCTCACACATAATCTTATAAGATTCATATGGATAAATGTAAGGCCTCTCAATAGTACAATTATTAAATACCTTTATTGGTTTTTAAAAACTTAATATTATTTCTTTTCTTTTACTTGATTTTTGACAATACTAGAGAACAAACACAGATTAGCAAGCACTCAACCACTGAGCTGCATTCCCAGACTGAACTTTTGCAATTCTATCTTAGGATATGAATCAACACATACAACTGACTTAGGAACAAAACAGTACACCATCTTCAGTCTTAACCTCACCACGCATATAGCTGAAATACCTGAACAGCATGTCGGTCTGAACCACTGTAGACAGAGATCTGCGGTTGTTGCATTCGAGAGGAGGAAGTGGTGATAGTGGTGGTGGTAGTGCTACTGGCTGTTGTTGACACTGAAGATGTTCCAGAGTTTGGTTCGCTATCCATAGCTGCACTGTGATCCTTAAATCTGCAGACAACACAAAGGATCAGTACTGGTAAAAAGCACTATTTTATGAACTTTAATGAATACTCATTACAAACACAATTAGTTAAGAGTCTAAATGTCTTAATAAAGCTAGCACACAATCACCAAATAGAAGGGAAACGTACTTCTCCCGTACACAGAATAGTTGATAGTAATTATCTGCTAAACGGAATTCAAATGACTCAGAACAGTAACTGAGACCAAGGCTAGATTGAAGTTCATGTTTGTATTACTGAAAAAGGACAAATATGAGAGACAAGCGAGTAGACACAGGGTCCCAGTCCTAATCAAGAAGCTATCCGCAATTGACACCCATTGGCAATGGGAAAATAAATTTTCTCCCAAGAAGTCTCACTGGATATATCTATCAAGGCACACTTCAGGGCAGGTCCAATGCCCAGGAGAAGTCAGCCAATGCAAAATGAACTTTTATGGACCTTTTGCTTCATTTTGCTTTGTTTTGGCAATTTTTGTCTAGAATTGATCTTTTGGTTATTTATTTTGATTTTCGCTTTTGTGGGCCATTGGGGGGTATATATTTCTGGGTTTCTTTTTTCTTCCCATTCCCCAAGACAAGGTTTCTCTGAGTAGCCCTGGCTGTCCTCAAATTCAGAGATCTACCTGCCTCTGCCTCCCAAGTGCTGCTGGGATCAGGCACGTGCCACTACCATCCAGCTGTTTCTGGGGTTTTGCTTTTGTTTTTATGGTTGTTTTTTTTTTTAAAAAAAAGACTGAGAGGAAAAGAACAGAGCTGGGTAGGTAGGGAGATAGGGAGACTGGGAGGAATTGGAGAGGGAAAAAACATAATCAAAATATATTATATGAAAACATTTTTCAATAAAAAGGATAGATTTGAAGCCCAGAGGTGGTGGTGCACATCTTTAATCCCAGCTCTCAGGAGGCACAGAGGCAGGCAGATCTCTGCGAGTTCGAGGATATCCTGATCGTCAAACAGAGTTCCAGGACAGCCAGGGCTACACAGAACACAGAGAGACTCTGCCTCAAGAGAGAGAGAGAGACAGAGAGACAGAGAGAGACAGAGACAGAGAGAGACAGAGAGAGGACACAGATTTGATAGATTTGAAACCAAGCAATATTAGAGTTCTTTGCTTATTTATGCCTTCTTGGATGTCTACGGGGAAGATATGTGTCTGTGTGCTCCTGTACATGCATATGGGGAGTTATGAACAGTTCTAAGCCACAATGTGGGTGCAAGAATTGAACTCGGGTCCTATGCTAACTGCTGACCATCTCTCCATCCCTCAAAGTCATTCTTAGCTATACTTTAGAGAAGATTCCTAAGGACTTAAAATCACTAGTTTAACTGTAGGTGCCATACGGTTATTTAAAAAGTCTCAGGAAACCTGGTATGGTGGCACACACACATGTAATTCTAGCATTTAGGGAGGGTCATCCTTAGCTAAATATGGCCAACCTGGGCTACACAAGATCCTGACTCTTAAAAAGAAAAATAATTAAAGAATAAAAATTAAAAAGTTAGTGGGGCTGAAGAGATGGTACAATGGTTAAGACCACTAGTTGTTCTTGAAAAGAGCCTGGGTTGATGCTCAGCACCCACACAGAGGCTTATGAAACCCTCCAAAACTGAGTCCCTGGATCAGACGCCTTCTGCTGGCCTCTGAGGAGCCAGCCACAAACCATGGAGTAATGCAGAGACATATATGCAGGCAAAATACCCATACATTTAAACATTTCAAGTTAATTTTTTTACAGCTCTCAGTAGCTTTTTTTATTAGTCTACAAAATTGTCCTTACTAATTCTAGTACAGAGTTTAGCTTACTAACAGATTAGTCCACTGAAGGAAATGAAGTAGTCAATAAAAGCAACTTCTTTTTTGTTTGTTTGTTTTTGTTTTTCGAGACAGGGTTTCTCTGTAGCTTTGGTGCCTGTCCTGGCACTAGCTCTAGTAGACCAGGCTGACCTTGAACTCACAGAGATCCGCCTGCCTCTGCCTCCCAAGTGCTGGGATTAAAGGCGTGCGCCGCCACCACCACCCAGCTCAACTTCTTACACCTTTACAAAAATCTTTTTTCATGGATAATTGCTCTAAAATTTGGGGCGGTGGTAGAATACAACTCACTTTCCTATATACAGCTAGTAAAATACATATTTGTAGCAAACTTTATAATCTTTTCCCCCCAGTATTACAATCTTATGTCATTTATGCTATGGTGCAAAGTTTCACCTAACTAAATGTTTTAATAAACTTGAACCTCTGAGGTCAATCCCAAAGGCTTCCCATGTTGCTCCAAACTGAAACCCATCAGCTGTCACAGCAGGGTCAGAGCCCCACGGGAGGTTTTACTAGTTTCCCCTTTCCTTATCTGCTTTTTCTGCTGAGAAATAAAATTTAAACCAAGTGACATTCCCATCGTTGACAAGAATGTAACAAGGACATTGCTTGTCACTATGTAGCCCAGGCTGGCCTCAGTGAGACTCATTCTCCAGCCCACAACCCCTGAATTAACATCCACTTTACAGAAGGGAGGGAAAAACGGGGAGGCGTGATTTCTCACTACTTCTTTTATTGTAAGTTGAACCATACACTTTTATACTTCGCTGCTATTTTTTTTAATTGCCTTCTAATCAGCAAACCACAGTATCATCCGGCACCTGTTCAATATGACGCACAATCAGCGGTAAGGTAAAATCTTACTCCAACTACTCTCTGTCATGACACGTCTGCACCATGTACCAACGACATCAAAATCCCAGCCCAGACCCTGGTCTTTCAAAGTCTTATTCTGCTCAGCTGTGTCCTCAAGCCCAAACGCGATGGCAAGTAGTTCTGACTAACCAAAAATGGTCACAGAGAACCTAGACATTAATTCTAAACATTGGTGAGTGCAAATGACCAAAAATCATCGCGTTACGTTTCAAGGCCTGGTACAAAAGAACACTTTCGGTTAAGTGCTTGGGCTTGGCGTGGAAATACCTGCACCGTTCGGCTCTGTTCCCCCCCCCCCCCCCCCCAGGCCTACCCGGGAACCACTGAAGTTTCGAGTCGCTAACCTAGCATACCATCACAGCGCCACCCAAGAATGCGGCCCTCCAGGGAGGAGGCACGCCGCTGTAGCCCGAGCCCGGAGGGGCCCGCCAGGAAAGGCCCGGTGCCTCGGCCGCCGAGGCCGCAGCTGCCGCCCGCCCGGACGCCTCCCCGCGGTCCCCCGCCGTCCCCTGGCTCCGCGGTCGCGCCGCACGGACGGACGGACGGCTTCGGGCCGCAGGAGCCAGCGCGGAGGCCTGGCGGCGGCCGCCCAGCCCGACACACCTCGGCGGGGCCCGCGGCCAGGGTGACAGCCCAGGAAGAGCGCCCCAGGGCTCGCGTCCGGGGAGACCCCGCAGGCCCGGGCCCCCAGGGTGGCCGCACGGGTAGGGCCGCGCGGCAGCGGGGCCGGACCGCGCCATACGCACGCCCGAGGGGAGGCTGACCCGACCTGCCACCCTCCTCCTCCCCCGCCCAGGCTCCCCCACCACGCCGGGACTCTCGCGTCTCCTCAGCCCCGCACTGTCAGCTTCGGGGCCCTGAGAGCTCCCTCGGGGGGACGTGTCGCTGCCCTCCCTCGCCCCCCGGTTACGACATCAGTCACCAGCAAGTCACTCACTCCGCTTCCGCCATCTTCTCTCCTCCATCACTAACACGGCGTGCGCATGCGCCTCCCCTTCCCCTTGCCCGAGCCGAGGGGCGGGCTCCGAGCTGCCCAGGGGGCCCCTAAGGTCACGTGAGGCCAGCGAGTCGCTGTCTCCCTCCCACCTCAGCTCTCTGCGAAGTGGCCCGAGTCTCCCTACCGATGATCGATCGATAGCGGTCCTTCGCAGCCACCCGCTAGTTCTAGTCAGAATCTTTGCCAGAGGCCAGGGTCTGAGACTGAAATAGAAAAGTTCTGCTTAGCGCAGGAAATGTAGAAGTTGATCAAATACTTGCAAGAAGTCCTGGGTTCAATCCCCAGCACCGGTGGGGCGGGACCCGTGGAAAATGTAGGCAGGAGAAATTATAAAAATCCAAAGGCATACTAGGCTATATAGAAAGGCTAGTCTGGGCTATATGAAACGGGAGACCTTGCCTCAAAAAAAGAAAGCCAAAAATTGACTACAACTGTAAAATATTAAATATGTGTATCCGAAGTAGTCTTAATCTGCTGAGTGGATTTTGTAGACATCCGTACACTTACATCACCTGACTTCGCAGATCCGTGAAGCATGTAACAGATAGTTCTGTTCTTGACAGAAAAAGAAGCATTCTGATCATAAATAATATCTCGTGTTTGCTGGGATCAGTCAGGGTTGCTGTTGCTGTGAGGAAGGATCATACCCAAAGCACCTCGGGAGGAAAGGGTTGTTTTGGCTTACACTTCCATCACAGTTCACCGTCAAAGGAAATCAGGACAGGACAGGAACTCAAACATGGATTGGAACCTGGAGGCAGGAGTGGATACAGAGGTCCTGGAGGATGTTTGCTCAGCCTGCTTTCTTATAGGACCCGAGACCACCAGCCTACTCACAATGGACTGGACATGCATCATTAATTAAGAAAATGCCCAGCAGGCTTGCTACAGCCTGATCTTATGGAGGCATTTCCTCATTGGAGGCTCTCTCCCCTCAAATGACTCTAGCTTGTGTCAAGTTGACATAAAACTAGCCAGTACAACTGACCCCTTGTCAATCTGACACAGAAACATATATCACTTGGTAAGCCACAATCATTCCATTCTTTTTCTTGCCCAAGATCACACATAAAGACATCACAATAGAAAACTTTACAAACGTCAACAGTCCCATCCTACAGCCCTTAAACATTTAAATATTTAAAAATGTAGTCTCTTTTTAAAATCCAAAGTCTTTTCTAATCTAATTCTCTCAACAATAGGCTCCCATAAAATCGAAAATAAGTTAAATACTTCCTTACTTCAAGAAGAAAGAACCACGGATAAGTTACAATCAAATCAAACCAAAACCAAACTCCAACTGTGTAAATTCCTCAATGTCTGATGTCCAGAGTCCACTCACAATCTACTGAAGGGCTCAGGTCAAGTCTCTGGCTCCATGTTCTACAGCACACACAGCTAGGCTTCTAGTTCTAGCTGGCTCCAGGACTGTCGCTGGTTTTGGTGGTCATCTCATAGTACTGACACCCCCAAAATGCTGGGGTCCTCTGTGGCAACTGGGCTGCACTTTCCCCAATAGCCTCTCCTGTGTTGTCTTCATGGTACCAAGCCTCAACGTCCTTGTGTGACTCCTTTAACTGTTACTGTGGCTGCATTTTCACCAATGACTTCTCCTGGCCTCTCCTAGTGCCAAGCCCGAGCTGCTATTCCTGACCCCATCATGTCTTCAAAACCAGGACCACCTGGGTGACTTCTACACTACCAAAGTCAGCTGTCTGCAAGAGCTACAACCTTGGTCACCTCTGGAACGCAGCCTCTGTATGCTGGCTCTGAGGGAAAACTTCCCAGAAAATTTCACCTTAATGATGTGGCTCTCTTCTTAATCCTGCTAATTTCTCAGCACCAGGGGACTGCCGTCAATTGCCCCACTTCTTCAATGGTTCTGCTCTCTTGTTAGCCACGGCTGACTCTTCAGTTGACCAGAACCACCGATCCTTAATTCATATTGTGCAACAGCGACTCTCAAACTTCCCTCTGGAACTTCACAAGCTAGGAGGCCTCCAGCCTCTGCATTTCACACACATTCTTATCTTCCAAGGCCGCAGAACAGCTGCCAAGCTTTGAACACCCAATGGCAATCCTGGTACCAAAATCTCTATTAGTCAGGGTTCTCTAGATGAACAAATCTCATAGACTGAAACACACACACACACACACACACACACACACACACACACACCTCTCTAGAGATGGGGGGGGCGAGGAGAAAGGAGTTTTATTCGAGTGGCTGACAAGCTGTGGTCCTACAATGCTGTTTACCAGCAGAGAGCACAAGAATCCAGCAGTTGTTCAGTCCACGAGGCTGGATGTCTCAAATGATCTTCAGTATATGCCAAAATCCCAAAGAAATAGGCTCTAATGCCAGAAAAGGAATGGACTTGACAACCAGAGTGAGGACAAGCAGGCAAAGATCAAGGGTCCCTCTCCCTTGTCTTTTATATATGCTACCAGAAGAAAGTGTGGCCCAGATTAAAAGTGGCTCCTCCCACTGCAAAAGATCCAGATTTAAAATGAGTCCTCCCAACTGAGCAGTGGTGGCATACGCCTTTGCACGCCTTTAATCCCAGCACTCAGGAGGCAGTAGCAGGTGCGTCTCTGTGAGTTGGCAGCCAGCCTGGTCTACAGAGCAAGTTCCAGGACCGTCAGAGGTACACAGGGAAAACCTGTCTCAAAAAAACAAAACCAAAAAAGTGGGTCCTCCCTCCTCAAATGACTCAGTTAAGAAAAAAATCCCTCACAGGTGCCATGAGCACTTTAGTGATTCCAGCCATAGACAAGTTGACAGCCAAGAATAGCCATCACACACATTCACTGAGAAAATCAGTTTTACTGCAAACCCATCTTAATTATGATATGGGTGAGTGAAAATTACACTTAACCTTGGAAGGGAGAGTAACATTTCCCGAGTAGCCTCACAATGTCCCTGTTCCTCTTTTTCAATCTGTTAGCAATTTTTAAACATGATTTTAGATTGTCTCAGACCTATTGAAAATGGTTAAGACCCTTTGGAAAGTTTTATATACTAGTTGGGAGGGACGCACAATTATATATTTGGATGCATGAGGCATAAAATTCCACTATATAAGTTAGAAGAGGGCATATAGACTTGCTTTCTCTTATTAACAGTAATGTACTATAACCAAACACTTACTAAATTGAATAATCTAGAAGCTGAAAATGTTTCTATAGCCTGCCACCTCTCTGTCAGTCACACGCTTGCCAGTCTTATCTTCCTTTGCACACTTGTGAGTAGCAGTACACACTGTTGGCTTTATCTCCCCGGGTGCTGAATAGTGACGGCACAGAGCATTAAACTGCAAGGGCACTTAGCTGTCATGTGATCCAACAGAGCAAACATCCATGTTAACTGCAGAATTCGGACCATGACCACCCATCACCCACTACAGAGGCATTTTGTCATGAGACCTCAATACAAGTAGGAGAATACCCAAGAAGCACTCAACGATGCCTTGGACCGTTCCTGCTCAGCCTTTCTGTATGGGTGTGCATTTAACACTCCACCAGCATCCCAGAGAGTTTGAGAAGTGGGACTTTAGGATGAAGCCAGTTTGAGTCCTTTTTCTGTCGTACCATCATTTGTGAACCCCTGGAATCCATTCAGCCCCAGCTTCAAATGATATGCTCATCTATGTCCCCACCACCATGGGCACAAATGAATTCACCAAAGTACAAAGTTGTCATTGTATACCGCCTCCACTGTTACCAACTATGGTAGTTAGCCATAATTGTCTACTTGATGCAACCTAAATCATGGGAAGAGAGCTTCAGTAAGAAATTGTCTGTTTTAGGTGTGTCTGTAGGCTGCTGGGTTAAATCAACTGATGTGGAAAGACCCAGTCCACTGTGGGTGGCCTCATTCCCCAGGCAAGGGCTCTGGAACTATATGGGAGTGGAGAAACTAAGCTGAGCTCAAGCAAGCAAGCAGGTGTGCATTAACTTCTCTTGGCTCTTGGCTGTGGATAGGTGTGAGTAGCTGTTTGATAACCTGCCTTGACTTCCCCATAATGACAGGCTGTAACCTGGACTTGTTAGCTAAAAGAAACCCCTTTCTTCACGGGTTGATTTTTGTCAGGGTATTTTAGCACATGAGCAGAAGGGAAACTTGTTCACCAGCCTCAGCCAGGCTACCTACCATTCTCTTTCTCCAAGACCGCAGCAGTGTGCACCTGCAGGTCACCCTGTTTCAACTTCTGTTCTGTGCTCTGTTGTTCACACAGTGGCTCCCAGGTGGAACGTAAACCACAGTATGACACTGCTGCTGAAACGCTCCAGTGTCTTTCCATCCTACCCCCTCAGAGCCTTGAGTTCTTAGCAACGACCTGAGAGAGGCATGCTTGAACACTCTCTTATTTCCCCCTCCTCTATCCTCACTCTCCCCAGCCTGGACCTTCACTACACACTTCTGCTATGATATTGCACCTCACCACAAACCAAAAAGCACCTGTCCCACTGAGCGGTATTGATACACACCTTTAATCCCAGCACTCGGGCGGCAGAGGCAGGTGGATATCTTGAGTCCGAGACCAGTCTGGTTTACAGAGCAAATTCCAGGAAAGCCAGAACTACATAGGGAAACCCTGTGTTGGAAAACCAAAAACCAAGGGAATGGAGATATAGCTCAATGGTTAAGAGCACTGACTGCTCTTCCAGAGGACCGGGTTCAATTTCCAGCAAACACATGGCCACTTACAACTGTCTGGAACTCCAAGATCTGACAGGCTCACACAGACACATATGCAGTCACTAATGCACATAAAATAAGAATAAATAAATTAGCTGGGCGATGGTGGAGCACGCCTTTAATCCCAGCACTTGGGAGGCAGAGGCAGGCGGATCTCTCTAAGTTCGAGGCCAGCCTGGTCTACAAGAGCTAGTTCCAGGACAGAACCAAAAGCTACGGAGAAACCCTGTCTCGAAAATCCAAAAAAAG